AGAGAGAGAGAGAGAGAAAGATCATATTTGCATTCCACAAAAAAAAAAAAAAAAAAAAATTGCCAAGTTCACAAGATGGCTGGCATGAACAATTTCACGTCATAATTAGCAAACTAGTTTTTTCTCCCGGTTTCTTTGACAGATTGACTCATTGAATTGACTTTCTATTAAAGGAAAGAATTTCATTGTAATATTTGACCAACATCACTGATTTTATTCTCTGATTCTATCCAAATCAATTTAGGATTAGTTTCTCTTTTTCCGTGATTATAGAACCAATTGTAATTACTAGGATTATAGCTTTCACACTTGTAGCAACTGTATATATGCTTGCAATTGCTCATTGTCGAATACACAGACAGAAATTCACAAAACTCTTTCTTCTTCCTATTTCTAAATTTCACATGGTATCAGAGCCTCAAAGGTTCTAAAAAAAAAAAAAAAAATCCGTTGCAACTATGGGAGACGAAAGTTCGAAGACGGAGAAGGGAGCCAGCCAATCGGATCCTCTCACTTTGCACCATTCTGATCATCCCAGTTTGGTTCTTGTCTCCAAACTACTCGATGGGAATAATTACGGGCAATGGAGCTGCGCGATGCGAATAGCTCTAAGTGCCAAGAACAAAATTGGCTTTATCAACAGAACAGTCAAACCACCGGCGAAAACCGATGACAAGTTTCTAATATGGGAGCGCTGCAATCACATGGTACTTTCTTGGATTCTTAATTCCGTTAATTCTGAAATTGCTGCTAGTATTATCTACACAGAATCTGCAGCCGATGTGTGGGACGACCTACACAATAGGTTCTCACAAGGGAATGACACCTGGATCTTTGAGATCCGTCAGGAAATCATGGAACTTCGACAAGGACATTAATCCGTGTCAATTTACTACACTAAGATGAAAGCTCTTTGGGATGAACTGGCCTCTTATCACGACCCAATCACCTGCACTTGTGGGGGACTCAAGGGCCTCGCCGAAAGAGAAGAGAAGGAAAGAGTTATGCAATTCCTCATGGGATTGAATAATTCTTTTTCTACGATTCGTGGTTCCATACTCTTGATGAATCCTCTTCCTGACACTCGGAAAGTTCATGCTCTCGTCTTACAACATGAGAGACAAGCCGAAGTGGCCGCTAATCGAGACACTGCTGGAAAACACGCTGCCAATTGGACTGAGCCAAAAACGCAGAACCGGTCAGCCGGTTCGGTCGACCGGTCAACTAGTGGTAGAAAGGTTCTTCACTGCACTCATTGTGACATGGACGGGCATACTATCGATCGTTGCTTCTTCATTCATGGATTTCCTCCTGGACATAGGTATCATGGGAAAGATGTCAAACCAAAAGGGAGAAAATTCACCAATTCTCCAACCGTTTCCAATGTAGAGATGAAAGAGGCCAAGCAATTCACAACCAAAGAGTATGATCAAATCATGTCCCTTCTTTGCAAAGAGACTGGTAACACTAAACCTCTTATCAACACTTCAGGTATCGATTCTATTCACGCAAATAATGCATGGATTTTGGATAGTGGCGCCACTGATCACGTATCCAAGAATCCACCTATTGCAAACAAATATGTCTCTAAATATACCACTGTGCAACTGCCAAACGGAGGACATGTTGAAATTAAGTCCATTGGGACCATGAAATTATGCAATGATATGAGTTTTGATAATGTGCTCTATGTCCCAGATTTCAAGTTGAATATGCTTTCCATTAGCAAACTTACACAAGCCTTAGATTGTAATGTGACATTTTATCCCGATTTTTGTGTGGTGCAGGATTTAACTACGAAGAAGACGATTGGACTGGGCAAATAGAGTAATGGTCTATACTATCTCACGGTGAAAAGGAGTCCACATCTGTCCAACGCTATCCACCACACATCCAACCTTTGGCATAAACGTCTTGGGCATCCCTCCATCTATCCACTTCAGTTATTATCTAAAACTATTTCAGAAATTTCTTTTGATTCCAATAATGTTTGTGATGTTTGTCATCTAGCAAAACAATCCCGTTTGCCTTTTTCTATTAGCAGTATTTCCAGTCATGAACCCTTTGATTTAATACATTGTGATATTTGGGGACCTCATAGAATTTACTCTTATTCTGGAGCTCGTTATTTTTTAACCATTGTGGATGATTATTCTCGTTATACTTGGGTTCATCTTATGCGTCATAAGTTTGAAACTCAATCTATCATTAAGAATTTCTTTGCTTGGGTTAGAACATAACATGACCGTCCAATTAAAACCTTAAGATCAGACAATGGACAAGAGTTTCTTTCTTTACAAACCTTTTTCAATGATAATGGTACCAATTTTCACTGATCTTGCACTTGCACGCCTCAACAAAATAGGGTAGTTGAATGCAAACATCGTCATCTTTTAAATGTAGCACGTGCCATTCGTTTTCAAGCAAAACTTCCATTGAAATTTTGGGGGGAACATATCAAAGCAGCTTGCTACCTTATTAATCATTTACCTACACCACTCTTATCCAATAAAACACCATATGAGCGATTACACAAACAGCCACCTTCTTACTCGCATTTACGCATCTATGGTTGTCTTTGTTTTGCCACAAATTTACAGCCCACTCATAAATTTGATACTCGTGCACGGCGTTGTGTCTTTCTCGGGTACCCACCGGGGCAAAAAGGGTATCTTCTCTATGACTTGATTGAAAAGAAAATGATTACTTCTCGAGATGTCATATTTTATGAAGATACTTTTCCATACTCAGCCATACCACATGATGACCAAAATAACAGTCCAACCTTGTCAAAGGCCATAGATGCCAACATAGACACACCCTTTACCACTTCACCTACACAAAACAACATTCCTCCTACCAATAGCTCAGCCGATTCTCAATCTGGCACAATCCCAATGAACGATCTGAGCTTGACCGGTCGACCAAACCAAGCGACTGGACCCCTGACAGAGGCAGAAACAATCCTTCGGCGGTCCACTCGACCAAGCCGCATACCAGTTCACCTTCGGGATTATCAAATCAATCATACTCTGCCTACTACAGACTCGTCTCTTCTAGTTAAATCTTGCACTCGCCATCCTATATCAAGGTATGTGTCATATTCTAATCTTTCTCATGCTCATTGTACCTTCGTCTATAACATTTCTCACTTGGTCGAACCAGAAACATATGAGCAGGCTTGTAAGGACCCAAAATGGATCGACGCTATGAATGTTGAGATTGCTGCATTAGAGGCAAACAAGACTTGGTCTTTAGTCCCTCTTCCTTTGGGTCATCGTCCCATTGGGTGCAAATGGGTGTTCAAGATCAAGTATAATTCTAATGGCATTGTCGAACGGGACAAAGCCCGCCTAGTTGCCAAAGGGTTCACCCAACGAGAAGGTATTGACTACAATGAAACCTTTGCTCCTGTTGCAAAGCTTGCCACTCTCTGATGTCTTCTTGCCATTGCCTCCATTCGTGGTTGGGGCCTCCACCAAATGAATGTTCAAAATGCATTCTTACATGGAGATCTTGCTGAAGAGGTCTATATGCACCCTCATCTTGGTTTTCATCGACATGGGGAGCCCCTTATGTGTCGACTCCATAAGTCTCTATATGGATTAAAACAAGCCTCACGATCATGGTTTCACAAGTTTCTCTCCGCCATCAACAAGTTTGGCTTTCAACAATCACGGGCCGACTATTCTCTTTTTACAAAGGTGTGTGAAAACTCCTTTACATCCATTCTACTCTATGTTGATGATATGATTATAACAGGGAATGATCAAAAGGCCATCCATGATGTGAAGACTTTCCTCGCATCTTGCTTCAAATTGAAGGATCTTGGACAATTAAAGTATTTTCTTGGAGTTGAAATAGCTCGCTCTAAAATGGGCATCTCTATCAATCAACGCAAGTATACTCTTGATATTCTACAAGAAGCGGGATTACTTGGTGCAAGGCTTGCTAAGTTTCCCATGGACCAATCTTTGAAGCTCACTCCTACTGATGGTGACTTACTCAAGGATCCGACACACTATCGACGTCTGGTGGGAAAGTTAATTTACTTAACCATCACAAGGCCAGAAATTGCATTTTCAGTCAACATCCTTAGTCAATTCATGAAAGAGCCTAGGCGACCTCATCTTGATGCAGCTCATCATTTACTTCGATACTTAAAGGGCTCACCCGGACAAGGACTATTTTTCCCTTCTAAAAATGATTTGAGCTTAGTTGGGTTCTGTGATGCAGATTGGGCTGGAGATATTACTACATGTCGATTAGTGATTGGTTATTGTGTTTTTCTTGGAAAGGCTCTCATTTTCTGGAAAAGCAAGAAGCAAACTACGGTGTCAAAGTCTTCAGCTGAAGCAGAATACAGGTCTATGGCTTCCATCACTTGTGAAATAACTTGGCTAAGACATTTGTTATGGGATTTGCATGTTAGCCACCCTCAACCGGTGACTTTATATTGTGACAATCAAGCAGCCATGCACATCGCTGCTAATCCAGTTTTTCATGAAAGAACAAAGCACATTGAAATAGACTGTCACATTGTTCGAGAACGAATTGACAGAAGAGAAAGTAAGACGGTCTACATATCAAGTGAGAATCAGATTGTAGACATATTCACTAAAGCATTAGGTCAAGTTCCTTTTAACAGACTTGTTCGCAAGCTGGGCATTCTCGACATCCATGCTCCAACTTGAGGGGGAGTATTAAAGGAAAGAATTTCATTGTAATATTTGACCAACATCACTGATTTTATTCTCTGATTCTATCCAAATCAATTGAGGATTAGTTTCTCTTTTTCCGTGATTATAGAACCACTTGTAATTACTAGGATTATAGCTTTCACACTTGTAACAACTGTAAAAATGCTTGTAATTGCTCATTGTCGAATACACAGACAGAAATTCACAAAACTCTTTCTTCTTCCTATTTCTAAATTTCACACCTTCCAACACCTATGCAATGAAAATCTGATTCCAGTGTCTCCCAAATTCGAAGTATGGTCACGCTTTCTCCGAAGAGGATGATGTGCTCTCGTATCCAGATTGTCGAAGTTGAACATCGCTGAGGACGTCCTGAAAACCGAAAAAGGGGAAAAGAAAGGAAAGAAACTTTACGGTAAAGAAAAATCTCAAAACACCATAAGTGAGAAAATAATACCTATTAGTAGTGTATTATTTGAGACCGTGAGAGATCTCCATCTAGTTCTTTTTTTTTTATTTTTAATATGATTCTAATGTGATCTCACTTATTTACGCATCAACTTACTTGCGACGAAGAAGAGGAAGCGGAGGCCCCTTTGGAGGAGGATCTTGAAACAAGGGACAATGGCATGTTGTTATAATCGTTGGAGTCGGCGATCTCTCTTAACCTGTTAAGCTCAGGCAGGACCACTTTTCCAAGATCCGGTCTATCCTTTCGCCTCATCTCCGCGCACTGGAGAGCGAGTTTGGTGAATTTGAATGTCTCCTCGAGAGGCCAGTCGGTAACAGCCGGGTCAAGCATCTCGGTGAAACCGCCTTTGTCTATGGCTCTTTCCATGTGATGAGTCAACCCCATTGGAGGCTTGGCCGTTATCAGTTGCAGAAGCAAGACCCCGAGTGAGTAGATGTCGGATTTGATCCCCAACATGCCTGTTTGCTGATACTCAGGGTCTATGTAGCAGAATGTCCCTGCTGTTGCTGTCATCCGGTACTGCGTCACGGCGTCCGCTACAGACGGAGGAACAAGTCTTGCCAAACCTACATCACTGATCTTGCTAACATAGTTGCGGTCTAGCAGAATGTTTGCCGGTTTAAGGTCGCGGTGAACAAGCGGCTCTGGCTTGGTCTGGTGGAGGAAAAGGAGTCCTGTTCCAATCTCCGCTGAGATTCTAAACCTCAACTGCCACGGTAGAACCGGGGTGTTTCCCCGTCGGAAAAGGCGGTCCTCTAGGCTGCCGTGAGCCATGTACTCGTAGACAAGGCAACCGAACTCGGGGCAGGCTCCGAGAAGCAGAACCATGTTGGGATGGCGTATGCAGCTGAGTACTTCAACCTCTTGCTGAAACTGGGACCGTCCTTGAGCTGCATCAGGGCGGAGTACTTTTATTGCAACAGGGGTGTGGCCTAATTCACACCTGTACACTGGTCCATAACCTCCTTCCCCAATCTTACGTGACTCGGAGAAATCCTCCGTCGCCATTTCAATCTCCTCGATCGTGTACTTTCTGTACCGGATCTCGTGGCTCAAACTCCCTAGTGCCTTCTTCCTCTCCTCAGCTTCCTTTTGCGCTTTCATTTCCGCCTGAACTCTTTTCTGCGCCTCCAATTCGGCTATCCTTTGAGCCGCTTCGGCTGCCTCAATGGCCACCTTGCACTTTGCCTTTTCCTTCTCTGCAAGTGCCAATGCTGCTTCCTCGGCTAGTTGTGCCTCTTCCAGTCTCTGCTCTTCTTCCAATTTCCACCGGTGAAGTTCGATTGCCTAAATGCCATGTTGAGAATCAAGCATTTGTTTAGATTAAAACGAAAAGAAAAATGTAACTAGTTAGTGATATAATATAGATACCGTCTTCTTTGCTGTGAGAGCCTCCTTGCAGGCTGAACTGTACATGTCCATTGTTTGCTTCAGCTCTAGCCTCAGCCTTTTCATCTCAGCATCCACGTCATCCTAAAATGAAGTTACGTGCAACTAAAACCGTTAAAAAAATTGAGATCTCAATGACGGAAGTACCAAACCCATTCCGAAATTAATTGATAAATGAGATACCACATTATTTTGTGAGGAGCTGGAATTGGTACTGTCGTTGGAGTAATCAGTGAAGTCATAGTGTGAAGAGGTAATGTCAATGGACTTGTTTCCTGAGAAAGGTGAAGATGATGTAAAACTACTCCTGGGAGCGTCAAAGTCAGAGCTGGTTGAAAAACTGGGGCTCATCCCTTGGAAGTCTATACTGTCGTAGAGACTTGGCCTTCCATGGCTCACGTAGGATATGTCTGTCTCTGGGGAGAGCTCATATGACTTGTTTGTCAAACCTTTGCCTCTTGCGAAGGGTGACCTATACAATTTGTGTGTGTAAATATATTATTTCATCATTGAAGCTTCTCTTTAATACTTTTATAAGTAGAGGATCAACATTACTTGCACAAGAAGTTACCTAAAATCCATTTCATCATGCTGCTGGTGAGGGGTATGGTTTAATTGTCTCTGATCTGCTGTGTTGGATATGTTAGTTTTTAGTGTTGAATGTTTTGATCAATTCTTGAAGTGAAAAACTAGAGAGATTGAAAAAGAAAAAGAAGATCCTACCTCTAGGTGGATGACTAGAGTGACTATTGTAACGCGATGAATTAGATCTTGTGGGGGCGGGAGAGGAAGCAGAACGGACGGAAGAGATCTTGCCTTTGGCAATGACATACACGGTACAGAACTCCGGTGCCCCTCGAGACACGCTGCTTGGAACATCTGTAGTTTTGAACCTCCTATTTATTTATTTATTTTTTCCATCAAATAGATTAGCATCAGGTTTTGATTGTTCACTATATATGAACACGTAATACTCCAAAACAGATTGCTGAAATAGAGAGGGAATTAGTTAATTACTTGACAAGGCTGTTTCTTGATGCTGCACCTAGTACCAAAGTCTCAATTGAGTTAGCAGAAACATAGTTGATTATTGCCTTGGATATATCCAAATCCTCTAGTATCACTTCGTCGCATTTTATCTGTTGCCAAAAAAGAGCAGACGTGACGTTTTAATATACTGACAGACATGTGATGATTGTAAATTAATTTTTTTTTTCTTGTTTTGAAATCATTAATTATGCAGGGGCAAGCAAGTGTTAATAGAAAAAGTGAATTAATTAAGAACATATATATGTATATATATATAATTAACTTACATCCTTTCTAGTGCAAAAGCAACGGAAGGGAAGGAACAAGTCCTTGGCCTGATTCTCGAGCTGTTGTTTGTAGGTTCTTGCAACGTCCTCACTCACTTCATTCACAGAAACAAAGTTCCCAACTTCACCATAAATATAATTACAAATTTATGAGCTCACAGTTCATCCCTTAATTTGTTTCACATATCAGCATCTAATTATACATACATGTATGTATTATATATATATATATACATATACATGCTTGTACATACATGCCGTTATGATCCCATTCAATGATAATAAACAATTCTTGTGCCCCCACCTTTTTTTTTCGTTTGCTTTTGTAAAGGGCAAACAGAAAAAAAACAGGATTAACTTAATTAAATTAAAGAAAAAATGCATGCATGAGAGATAGAGGGTAGAGAGAGAGAAGATGATATTCTTGATTAAAATAATTACATGGATTTGGAACGGAAGAAGCTCTGTTTTTAATATGAAGCAATACGACGGTTTGGCCTCTGGTGATGAGATGATCGACCGTCCATTTGAGAGCATATTGGCTGCTTTTGTCCTTGTCTATTGCCACCACCACCACCTCTTCTTTCTTTTCTCCTCCTCCTCCTCCACCGCCCCTCGCCATTAATTAAACCCCTAATTTCTTATCTTAAATATTAATCCAATAATTAATTAAACCTCAATTTTAAGCAGGCACTTTCGGGGTTTTTTTTATTTATTATTATTATTGAAATGGAATTTCGTCTTACCCCTTAATCTTGGCTTTTTTCCACTCTCTTAGAGGGAAAAAAAAGGATAAAATTTTCACCCTTTTTTTTGTCCCTAAGAGAGGGATTGAGATTGTTAGTTGTTAAGGTGATTAGAAGAAGCAAAACAGTGTAAACAAATCTCCTAACCATTGCCTTTATTAAGCTGTTTCTGTTAAATGTCAGCGAGCTGCTGTTACTAACTTCCAAATATGGTTAAAATTCTTAATTTAATTCACCAATTAACTAAATTGTTGGGTGTGATCAGTTTCTATCATTTAATTATAAGTTGTGAAAATTAAATACAATCACAAAAATTAAACTAAAATTCTAACGTGTACATGTGGTATAACTAAATGTAATACAAATCAGATACTGGTGGTTTCATTTGGATAGACTAATAGCTAAATGGTATTTAATTTTTTAAATTAGAAATTCAATTAATCACTAATGGAGGAAATTAATTAAAATGAAAAGATGAAAAAGGTGTAAGTTCTTTCTGGCTCTTTAAAAGGAAAGGAAAGAAAAGGGTAATTTGTTATGCCTAAGAGCCATTCAAGCAAAACCGACAAAACTAGTAATTCTCTCTTTTAATTTTGTTAAATTGAGCTCTAGCTATAGCTAGGCATAGAGTCCCGATCTAGTGTCTCCATTTTTTTTATTTTAATATATAGTTGTTTCTCTACTAATTATTTGTCATGTCATCTAAATTTAAGAAAATATTTAAGTAATTTACGAGATGGCAAATTTTAATTGAAGGCTACCGAGACAGAAAAATATGATAATAAATCTTGATTCGCATGATATCTAATTTGTTCGGGCACATATATACTATAATACATATGATATCCATGAAAACAAGTATCAGCTTGATGCAGATTGAATATCAACGCATTACACATAACACGTACAATAATATACAGACGACAACACAATTATAAGATTTAAACAGGATTTTTTTTTTTGG